GCTGGTTAGTTAATCTAATATCTAGTTTACTTATTTATCATGAAATGCACAATTGGTTATTTATCATGGAAAGCCCACGTTGCATAAGCCCTATAATTTCTTTGGGCTTTCCTGCCATATTGTAGCAAATCTCTGTAAACTCATTTTGTATCACAATAAGGTGGTGAATAAATAAATAAATAAATAAAGAGTTAGGCCGTGTATTTTTCCTTACATCATAGGGAAAGGTAATTTGACTTCGTGTTTAAGTATTTTCCTTTCGTACTTGTGGCGTCTTCAGTGGATTTTGAAGGAGAGACGCAATCACTTTTGTTTGAGGTGTAATTTGAGACCGCTTTTTGAGAAGGCGAAATTTGTTGTACGTGGCAGTTTGAAGCCTAAAAAAAGCCTGTCACTCAAGGATAGTGGTAGTTGGCCTCTTACTCTTTAGAATAACACCGCTGAAATCACTGCAGGCTCCTCCCGTCATGCAATGGCCTGTAATGTAATCTATTCTTGGCATGAGCGTGTCAAAATAGGGGTTACAAATTAAAAAAGGTCGTTTACAAGTCTTAAAAGTTGAAGTGAATGGATAATGACTACCGAGATTTATTTCCGTTTTTCTTAGCCAAAGCTATGAGGTTAGGTAGTATTTGGAAACAAATACATGCAGCTGTAACCTTACGGACATTTCTTTCAAATTGTTGAGCAATACCTCAGTGGATGACATGAAACAAGAGATCCATCGAAAATTGTTTACTTGAAGTCTGAAGCGTTTGAAACTTAATCTATGCTGAACCAACTGTCCAACATCTGACAACCGATGGCATGTGATTGGTGAATTCGCACTTGACTTATCAAGATTAATTAGAGAGTTCAAGGTAAAATTTTGTCTGGTTTGGCGATTTCGCACGCAGTGTCAGTAGTGTTCGTTGATCGTATAACTGGAATTAAACAGGAAGGCTTTTTCGGCATAGAGTTTGGTAAGGAAACAGTGAGGTTAGGGAGACAAAGTCAACAAAGAGTCCGCCAAATTGATTGAAAACTTACACCATAAAGGAGTTAGTGCGGAGCTTGGACACGAAGAAGTCACAGTTTCAACGGAGCCATGTTTGCTGTCAAAGAGGAGCGCACGGTTATAGGAGGCGTTGAATTGGCGAGGAAGACAGTAGTCGCGGCTACAGGGGAGGGGTAGGTTTCTAGATTCAACAATACAGTAAATGGCTTGAACCCGGGGGTAACATGCGAAAGTGTCGTGTGATCGTCCGGGTGAGTGTAGTCCTGAGAAGGACTGTTGTCGGTGGTGGTGACTGACGTTTCGAGTACCTGTGCGGAAGTCATCATCAGAGTCATCAGGAAGTCATCAGCATTCAACTGACAACAACTATTCAGTTGACTCAGATGATGACTTCCGCACAGGTTGTCGAAACGTCAGTCACGACCACCGACAACAGTCCTTCTCAGGACTACACTCACCCGGACGATCACACGATACTTTCACAGATTCAACAATAATTGACCATATATTCGGATAATTTCAAACGATTTCAAACTCAGCATAATCCGTACGATTGGAAAGGGTAAAACTCTTCCTTAAGATCGACTGTTCAGATGGGACTCGTTATATTGTCAAATAAATACTTCATAATGGCAAACTAAGCTCATGAGTATTTTTTCTTACCTCAAAATTATTTTATTCGATGACTATCTGTATTCTGTAAACAATCACCGCCATTGAAGAACGCGGAAGTAAAGGTCACTGGAAGAGTAAACATATTGATTAAATGTGCGGCCGATTGCACCACTACTTCTTATAACCAGCGAAAGTTGCAACAACTGGTAATCAAAGCAAGAACAAAATTGCGTTGAAAGTCTTGACAAATATCATTTATTGTCGAAGACTTCTGTAGGGAGTCCCTAGTTTAGAAATTTTAGAATTTATTCGCTTGTTCCGTCCATCAGCACACGCGAAGGCATTCAGTTTATCTCAGCGGTCTTCTGGGACCTCCTATCAACGGCCCTATTTTCGCTGACGACCTTCGCTATTGTAGGCTCAAAATCGATTTGGCATCGAGCGAGGATAATGACACTGCTTTTCCGTTCTGGAAGGCGAAGGATATATTTTTGGCATCTTTTAATGTTTTGTACTTCATGATCGGTGCAAACAAACTTCCATGCATGGTCGTCGTCTACAAATGCGTGGTGCGCCCGAGTAGATTCAACACTCTTAATCACCTTGTTCACGTTGCGAATTACACCTCAATGATCAGAAAACAAAAAAAAAAACTTTGGAACTTGTTGGTTCAAATTTCGGAGCAGTAAAAAACACAGTTTAGACTCACTTACTTATAGATACTTTGACACTTAGGAAGTTATACTATATTTACATTTCTCTTAATTCATCAACTGAAATTTTTATCATGAGGACGCCTTGGTAAGACCTACTCTGGGACCTTGAGTTGCCTTAATTGCATGAAGTCGCAAAACTCTATGGAAAATTAGTCGATTTCAGCGCTATATGAATATTTCCTTATTCATTGTCTCTTACATGTACATTCAACCACTGCTTACCGACGTTCCGCAACGTGGTGTTCAAATTCCACGTTTTGGGCTTGAAGGTTTGGTACAGTTTCGGGATTTTTAGATTGAGGCATTTAGTGAACCTTTAAAATCAAACTAGCTACGTCGCACAAAGCGCTGGCGTGAAATCCAAAACTCCAGCTTCAACTTTGAGTTCGATTCCTTTCAGAATTATCAACAGGGAATACATAGAAGCTCGAAGAGAGGTAGATTTGCCTGGAAGGTAAAAACTTTTCTTATTGCATTGACGAACACGCTGTAGTTAGGGGCTTCTAGCTTCGTTAAAATCGACGGGGACCTTCATTATTTCCTTGCCATTTAAAATGTGTTCATGTCATGACAGTAAGTAGTCTTGACTGGATTGGATAGCTTCGAAGAGAGAGACGGGGGAGGGTAGAGAGGGAGACAGACAGAAACAGGGGGTAAGGAAACAGTGAGGTTAGGGAGACAAAGTCAACAAAGAGTCTACCAAATTGATTGAAAACTTACACCATAAAGGAGTTAGTACGGAGCTTGGATACGAAGAAGTCACAGTTTCAACGGAGCCATGTTTGCTGTCTAAGAGGAGCGAAGGGTTATAGGAGGCGTTGAATTGGCGAGGAAGACAGTAGTCGCTGCTACAGAGGAGGGGTAGGTTTCTAGATTCAACAATGCAGTAAATCCCTTGAACCCCGGGGTAACATTATTTTATGGCTGTGTCTCACAAGGACTAGTACTTGTAAATTCACGAATTTGATTGGCTGAAATCAATATTGAAAGCGATCTAGATTTTCCCATCTAGACCGGCATCTAGACCAGTCTGGAAAAAAAAGGTATGTAAAGAATATAAAAAATTGGCATATAAGACACAACCATATAATAAACATCTTATTAACCCAGCTAGGTCGCTCTGTATGGGAGAATCTTGACCTCGGTCGCTGGTACAGACCTCACTGCGTTCGGTCTGTACTGGCGATCTCGGTCAAGATTCTCCCATACAGACCTCCCGCTCGGTTAATAAAGACTAATAATCGTTCTTAAAGGCCGGGGGGGCTCAGAGGATACCACAGGGGTCCTATGGTTATTTTCCTTTTGTACTGAAGAGTTTTACAAATTGGTCTTCTTCCTATTTCCTTTTTAGTGTTCCTGCTGTTGCATATCCAAGGTGAGACATGTCTGATTTTTTAATCTCATTTTTACTCTGTAGAGGTCGACACCAATGTTACCATTAGTTGTCTGGTGATATTAATTCTTGCGGGAAAAGTCGAGGTGGGTCCCAAGGGATTTGACCTCTACCCAATATAATGCTACGCAACCTTGTGCTTCTTAGCTTCAGTACAAAATTTGCCTCTTACGGATTTGCCGAAGGAGGGCGTTTGGAATAAACCGTACGTGGGGTATTCAGTCTGTTAGCGTACATAATGCCCGGGTTTTGTTCATTAAATTCCATAATTGTTTTTCTCGTCACTTTCAGCGCACCTCCCGCTCTGCCTCCACCCCCACCCCAACCCATGATAACAGCCCCCCCATCGCCAAAAGGGTTTAGCTGGATGGAGTGTTGCTTCAAGTGTGACGATCAACACGAATGGTACCAACTAGGCGGGAAGGGTAAGTATCTTGCTCGTGATTCTGTTTTCCCCCCCCCTTCTTGCGACACGCATGTTATTAAATTACTAAAGCACATACAAATTTAGGAAAAGCAATGATCTTCCTAGGTAAGTTACAATTAAAGCATGTGCAGAAAAGAAGCTTGGAAAAGTTCAGGCCTCGACGAGGTGATTCTAGCTAGGTTCTTATACCAATTGAATCATGAAGCAATTGCATCGACAAAAATTTTATTTGCAGTTTAAAAACGATCATCGTCCCTTTACTTCATCCGTGGTTTCTTTTTCATTTCATTTTGAATTACATTCGGGAAAGAATAACCCTCTTTTAAAAATTTGCTTTGCTCCCCGGTAAAATGTGGCCCCGTGGATATCTTCTCACTCTGGAAAATTTCACTTGTACATAACTTGGGGCTTGGAAAGATTGAAAAAGCGGAAGAGGAATTTTTTGACAGCAGGTTCAAGTTGAAACAAATTGGGGTGATTCGATTTTTTATCAGTTAAAATACTGAGTTGTTCTTTCACAACGAGAAAGGATTTAGTTACTTGATCATAAAATCTAATTGAACTCTCTTTTTATTTCTCACAGGTTTTTGCTTTGTATTGTTACTTCTCCTGGCTTATGTGGTCGCTGGAGGTCTTATACTTGCATATTTCGGTGTGTTGTGTATATTTGCAACCCTCCTAGACTGTGACTGTGACTGACATTTGACTATATCAGTCTATATTCTTTCTATAACAAGGAGTTTCATCAGTATTAAGCGGTAAAATCGCGTCAAAAAATTAGAACGCAATACTTGAACTTTATTTTGAAAATCATTATGTAGAAATTGTGATTTTGGAAATTAAAACGCAAAACTTAGCATAATTTATAACTTAATGCTGCAGAAATGACAGCAGATGTCAGCTGGAAAAGTTATGTCGAGCACCTAACCCACCCTTTCTTAAGCAGTACATTGCATTGGTGGTTTTCATGTCAGTGTTCCATTCGCCAACAAGTGGCAAAGGACTGGTATAAGATAAGTATTTGAGAAGTAAAGGATTAGCTCTTGTCTGTTTTGTCTCGTTCTGAAGAGCACGACAGCAGGAAATTAAGTTACCGGTAAGTTGAGTTTAAGGTCATTTGGCTCGGTAAATCAGTCTTTTCACATCTTTTATTTTTGATTTGTACTCAATTAAGATGCTAAGCGAAGATTGTAGCTCCAGTTGAATTTCTGTCAAGGAAACGACCAAATAAGAAACGTGAACGAGCAAGGAATTTCTTCCGTTAACCACAGCCGTGTACACATGTCATATGCTTAGAAAATTCTTCGTAGTCAACTGCACTATAACTTTAGCAAACCCTGCGCATGTGCAAGAGTCGTTGCTCAGCTTTTCCCTGACAGACCTGTAATCAACAACATTGTGGTACAACGGAAAATAAATAAGTGGTAATTCATTGATTCCTGGTTTGCGTTTCTCTATCGTCTGTAAGCATAAGTTCAAACGTACTACAGACATAAACATAGAAACACTAGTGTCCTTTCTAAATAGTTTGGTTAGTTTCGAAACTTAGCCATGTCACTCATGTGAACTAGGCTTAAAGCGATCGAATGGAGATTAGTCTTTCAAACGATTAAAAATTTGTTGACACTGTTATGTGGTTTGGCTGCCTGCCTGTTCAGTCACCAACTCCCACGACGGATCGATAGCGTTCCCGTGAGCCTTTGTTTACGCTCGGATAAGTGTGCTTATCAGCTGATGTTTCATTCAGACGATTCCAACACTCAGATGACCTCCTCACGTTCCGTTCAAATATTTTCGGTGTTTTTGCCTTACAGGTATTGCATTGGAGTATTAAATGCAAGGGAGAGACCATCATATTTCCAAGGAGAAGCGGGTCATGATATTAATGTTTTATCCTCACGTTGAGCAAGATTTTCATTTGGAATTAAGTACGACGCTTGTGCATGATTTTTAAAAAGTCGCAATTAGAGTAGAAAGTATGCAAACATGAACAGAGTAGAAACTGTTTGCTCGATTTTTGCCCTTGTGGCTTCCCTTTGAGCAAATTATACCGCAGTTTTTATAGCGTGTGAAGTTTCTTTCGTTATACTTGCCTAACCAATTGCGAACCTCTTGCAGTCTAATCTTTGCATTTCGCCTGACTGAGCCTTTATACGCTTTATCTTAGCAAGGTCACGCATTAAAAGCGGGACAAGAGACTTTCATGGAATACAAAGTTGCAGGAACCCTTGATGTGAATCGGAAATATCTTGAAATTTCCACTGGATTTCGGCTATTTAGGAACAAGTTTTATGGTTGAAATGGACGATGGAAAAGATACCACAGGCGTTTTGGCTGTTGGTGCAGAACACAACGCGGAAACGGCTTTCAATTCATTGCCACTAAAAACAGCTGAATGGTCAGTGTCTATGACCCATAGTGTCATTTAGAAAAAATAATGTTACATCTGTTTTTCTAGCTCCTTCTCCTCTGTTTCAAGAAAGTTGATACATTTTGCCGTCAGTTTCCGCGATACTCATCAGTTTGTGGCCATCAATATATAGTCGATTGAAATTAACTATAATAACAGATCTGCCAAAGATTATGTGTTCAGCGATTATAGTAACTTCCGGAGTATCCACCCGGAAACTGATTAACTTCACGTCTGTCCATTTCAATGAGTTCTTAATCAAAATTTGGAGAAGTGCACGTAGAGGGTGTGGCTTTCAAATGACATTCCACCAACTGATGTCACTCACGTTTCCTCCACAACTGGGGTTTGAAGACTGATCTTGACCATTTAAAACCGAATCCACGCAAGCACTGGCTTGCATTGATCGAAGAAGTTGTGATAAATTTCTCAATCATGCCTCAGCCAGCTACTGGGTTTCCACTGGAGACATTTAAGCCTTGGAGCATAATCATATGAATGACTGTTGATGATCTTCAAAGTGTTGTTGTGTAGAATTGTATAAATCAGTCCTAACGAACTTGATGTTGTTGTGCTTTTAATGTTGGCGATGTTCAAGTTATGACTGTGGAACCGACGAGGTAAAAATGCCGATTTCTGTGTCATGGTTAATTAGATCATGATGCCATCGAGATGGACAAGCAATTGGCACAGTTGTCCTCGTTCTCTACCAACAATTTATTCCACTCCAAGGATTATCGCCCTGCGTAACACCCTCGGTCATTAGCAACGTTGTAAAGATGGAAGTAAAGAAGAAGCTGACCTTCAATGACTTCTGTACACCTAAAAGCGGCCAGCAGGAATTGTTGAGAACTTTCACAACACCCAGTTTGAATCCCCGTAAGCTACCACTACTTATATGCATAGCCTTCTGTTGTGTTTCGCGGATTTAGGTCAGACGAAAAACTACAACTCAATACAAACTCAACGTCTATATTTTCAACATGGCGCTTCTCAAATCTACAAGGTACACACATGGCATGCGTGCGCATATGTGACAGATACCGCGGGCCGGCATGCCCGACATAGCACTTTAAAATGACAGCACATTTAATAATTTTTTATTTATTTTTGTTTTCAGTACAACGGTCTCTGCATCATCATATCCCAGCCCTGCTGTCAGTGTCGCTTCCCCATCCAGTGACTGCAGTGGTGAGATGTGCTGTATGTTTTGTTTGGAGTGCGTTACATGCCTTTGGGAATGCCTTTGTTATCGGTGCGAGAGGATGAAAGAATGTGCTGACTTTTGGGAGACATTTTTGCGTTGATTTTTCGTTGTGCACTCTTTGTGAATTAGTTCAAAGGTGTGACTATCCGAAAAGGAAGAAACAAGAGCTTGATCTTCCTCTGTTTCGTCGACATTTCGGAGTTTCCTTTGCACAAAATTTCCATCCAAAGTACGATAGTAAAGCTTCTACCTTTTGATTATATCCATTAACCTCTGTAACAGGATGATTATCACACTTTAAAGACTCAATAAGTCAGTGCTATTCATACTAAGTCACGCTAGGTGACACTGTCACGTAAGCCCACGCTCGGCTGTCTTCCTCTTGCGCGGGCTTGTCTCGCTTCAAATTCATGTAACGAGATAAACGCTATTTACTGTATGGTCGTTTGATCTAAAACAATGCATAATAAATTCAACGCTTAGATTTGAAACTTAACTTTTGTCATCATCAAAACTGTTGCTATTACTATCTTTACTATGTCATCAATGACTTGATTAAACATGTCATTTATCGTATTTCGTATTATGCTTTGATAACAAGTGTCCCTATAATGTTCTTGGCAAGTCCAGTTTTTCATTTTATGAGCGAAAGTTTTCCTTGTTACTTAAAAACATTTCATGTCTACCGTCAAAAATGAACTTCAGACTTTCAAACTGCAGACTGCGGTCTTAAGTCCCTTCTCCGCTTTCGTACGTAACAGTTTAGTTTCTGTTCCTCGAAAAGTTTAATCTATCATTAGATTTTGACCAGGCACTTGTACGAGAAAGCCTGGGTACAGCTTAATTCCATCCTGCATCCCTTCAACCTCGAGGTAAGCAGTATTGAGAGAGAATTGGACATAAAATGAATAACAGACCGGGTGGAGAGGCTGTGATAGCCGTTCAAGAACGAGCAAGGATTGGAGGAGTTGAAGTGTCAAGACAGACAGTGATAGCTGCAACAGATGAGGGGTTAGTGTTGAAAATCTGTGATGTATATTCAACTGGCTTCGCAGACTTCAAGTTCACGGAAATAATTGAGCTTCATTTGAATTTAACTCTCTTTGGGCTGTTTTCGTGCAAGCTCGTTGACCAAATTCTCCTGTAAAGATCCATTTTCTTGTCAATCTGGCCCGAGTCGTAGAAACTGATTGTAAATTGAAATGGAAAGAGCCATGTTTGTGTGTCTGTATCCAAATTCCCGGAAAAGCGGAAGTATTTAAGTCGAAGCCTCGAAAATAGCACTAAGTTCGTTATTGTTTCTTTTATACAAAGGCTAAATTTCTCTTGACTAAAAGTAATAATGAAACGATTTCATCTCTGAAAATTCATTCTCTAGGTTTTCTCATGGAGTAGTTCAAGAGAGAAATAGCATTACAACAAAAGAGTTAAAGATGTTAGGTCGGTCACGCATGGGAAAGCATCACTTTAGATTGATCTTTGGTTTCTCCTACGAATTTTACAAGTAGGTTGCTGTGATAAATGTCTCCAGCGGCGCTCGCTTTCCCCTTCGAATTCAGCACAACATGTGCATGCAATGTAGGGTTCGAAGAGAAGAAACGTAAATATTTTGCCGTCTGGTACCTGTTCTCAGACTGCGTAAAAATTATTCGATTTCCCATTGTTGTTTTGCATAGGACAGGAAGTAAACAGAATTTTATAAACGCACATGGTAAGCTTGTTAAGTCTTTTCGGTTTCGCAACCTGTGCAGTCGCCGTCGAGGTTTTCTTAAAATCCCTGTGATCTTAAGAACGAAATCTCCAACGTGTTCGCCTTAAAATGAAGGACTCATGGCCTGAAAGAGTGGAAACTCAGTTAAAAACTTAATCATGCGAGCTACCAAAATTATTAACTTTCGAAGCAGACTAAAATGATAACAAACGATTCTTACAAAACTATGATACAAGATCAGAAAGGCTTCTTCGTGTCTCCTGTTCACTTATGGCCTCGATTTCCCCATTTTCCTAATTGCATCATTAATAACTCGCATTAATCAGTGGATTTAGACAATTCATAGGTGCTTGCGTAAGAAAGCATTTAGGCTCTTTTCGTCCGTTACGGTCAGTCTTTCTGGAAAAGCCATTTAAATTCATTTATCCAAAAGATCAAGACTTTACATTCTAACATCAGTCAAGGCGTTCTTCATACTGCTCCTTAAATTTGTGGTGGAACATGTCAAAAAATCAATTCTCCTCTCCTCTTTGTTTGATCCAGGGTTACACTGTAAGGAGAAATTGGATGCTAATCACTCGTATGGGCTAAAGGGTTAAACTGAGGACAAATTAGAAATGAATACAACTGATCATGATTGTTGTCAGAATGGTGAATGAACTGATGAACACATGATACATGAAAAAAGTTCTTATTAAACAACATTCATTTACTGTGTTATGTCTTTGTTGTGACAAGTAGATACCTTCGAAACAGAAACTGAACAATGGCGGCACCAAAAGATTTACATTATCAGTGATAAAAGCGTGGTGTATTTTATATTTAACAATTATTCCACGAGCGTGCGTTGGATATGAGATGATAGATAGCCAACGAGGCGCATAGCGCCGAGTTGGCTATAATCTCATATCCAACAAGCGCGAGTGGAATTATTGTTTTATTAAAAACGCCCCCAAGATATTWGACAAATCTTACCAAATCTTAAATTTTTTAGCTCCCTTTTAATTTTAACCCGACGCGTACGCTTACCATATTTTTAGATTATGGTATATTGGCTCATATACCATAATGGCTAAGGCAATAAAAAGTCTTGAATTGCATTATACAATGATCCAGTTTTTAATAAAAACGTTTGTTTTTATGTAAGACGTTTACTGGTGGTTTGTTATTTTTGTTTTTTAGTATTGTGGCTGTTCAAGTGGATTCTGTGGGACAAGTGGGGTATATGATACCAAAAGCTACTATTTTGTAACGTTTGCTGTTATTGTAAGGAGTAGAGATTGAGCCTTCTTCCCAGGATATCAACGCTAAGTACAGTCCCAGTAGCAATAGGAAATCTTCCTGGTCATTCACATAATGTACCCATTTCCTTAATCTTCACTTCTTCAGTTTGATAGACCCCTCTCCCGCCCTGGGACGAGTGTAGACAGAAGAAAAACCGATTGTAAACAGGGTGCTGTTTTCATGAACAAAACGACTATGCCTGCCTTGTAGCATGTGGGCGTTTTTGAGCGCACTCAGATTGAGTTTTGTAAAACTAAAGTAATCAGCTTAGGAAATTATCGCAGTAAGAACCTAAAGTAAAAACCATCAAACGGCAGTGAGGTGCAATAAAACGCCAATAGATAAAAAGCGGTTGGTTTTAATTTACATCTGATCAATTGAGGAGGTAGTGCAAGTTTCCTGACCAATTACAGAGAGAAGTAAAGAAAAACTAATTAAAGTAACCCAGAGTTACTACTAACATTCAGTTGAAAATTCCCCATAGGCACTTTTTCAGGTCTGTGCATCTTTGAAAAGTCGGCCGCCACGAACCATTCGTAACCTGTGCTAATCTTTTCTTTAACCTTTCCACTGCTATATTTTCAGCGGCAACCGTTCAGCATTACCATTACCAGGTGGACGCCCAGCGTTAGCAGGGGGTCCTCGGTATCCAACGCCGGCGGTGAGCTACGAGGACGAGAGGGGCTGTACAGATTACTGTTGTTTGGCGTGTGACAGCGATTATAAGTGGTACAGCTTAAAAGGAAAAGGTGAAAACAAGTTATCATAATTAATGTGGATATATCAACAAAGTTAAAGTGGTAAATTGGCCACCGTAACGATTACAAAAGCTGACGTTTCGAGTGTTAGCCCTTCGTCGGAGCATTAGCCCTCCGACGAAGGGCTAACGCTCGAAACGTCAGCTTTTGTAATCGTTACGGTGGCCAATTTACCAGTTCAACTTTGTTGATATATCCAAGTTATTTCATTACTCCCACCGACGCAGCCCCAAACAGTTTCTTTCGAAACTATCAGCCTTTACTCATAATAATTAATGGCCTTATACTCTAAAGGTTAGGACCCTCGTTAAACAACGCTACTTTCTGTTATACTCCCTACATCTGCATTCACAGTCCTGAGAAAATAAGATTTTTTCTCTCTTGTTTTTTGAGACTTCCGACCTCCGATGATCCCGGGACGGATTTTGCTTACTTAGAAAAAAATTTCAGGCTTCCACTGGATTTAAGCCTGTACCCTTCAGATACTAGGAGCCTTAAGCAAACCACTACGGCAACGGCAACGGTGATATTGCAGAACAAGAGATCTGATTGGCAAGATAAGAGCTTAGCCAACAACAACGTGAAATCGTCAAAATTTACGTAGTCCGAGAATAGAAACCCCGACGGAAAAATTGATATTTAACTTCAAATTTGGAACCTAACCCCGCTCCCATGCGTGATGTTGAAGTTTAGGTGTGGCGCCGTAAGAGACAGGAAACACATCCAGCTATTGACGCAATTCTTTAATTGACGATCGCAATTTTTTCATCGACGTTTTCTTCCGCCGTTGTCCTCCTGATTACCTAAGGTCCCTATGTATTGGGCGTTACCACAAACTGGGCTACGCAGCCAGACGGCTGGGAGTGAGGCAGATATTCGTGGCTCTGGTCATGTGACAAATTCCAACCCGTTAGAATATGAATAATACTAAATTAGCTTACGATATCGATTCTAATGCTCTTCCCAAACGTAGCAAATAAAGGTTTGTATCTTTTCTGTTCTTCTTGCTCCCTGCTTCTCACCCTGATCAATCGAACCAGATGAAAGGGGCTCGAATGTTTTGAAAATATGCCCCCTCATTTTCACGCATATAATGAAGTTCTTTCCATAAGCAGAAACTAATGTTATACCATTAACCCTAACCTCCCCCTCCCCTCACCAAACTCTATTCTCAGGCTTCCTTGTCTTCCACTGTTCTTTCAAAAGCAAATTTCCTAGCAAATAAGATGGAACTGAAGTATTTGTGCGACGCTGCCAGGCGTCACGCAATAAAGCTTCTAAAATTATCCGGTCGTTGAGTCATTTTTTTTCCCTCTCTAGGATGTTTCTGGTTTATGGTTCTTTTGTTGTTTTATTTGATCGTGGGTACCATACTGCTGCCGTTTTTTATCATCTACCTGGTGTGCCTGTGCATATGTTATCCTCTTGGCTGCTGTAAAGATAATGACGACACAGACAGGCCACTTTTTAGGTCATAAAGTGGGACAGTTTATCCTCGCTCGACTTGGAAGCATCACGAACCTTCAGTTATAATGACCGTACTTTTTGGCTGATGTATGAGAAGTCTAACACTTACTTTACGTCTTACTCGTAAAAAGTCGAGAAAAGAAACGCAGAATTTGAGGTGGCAGTTAGGTCTAATCGACATTTACGGACTTGTTGAGCGTAATTCATGTACAATTGAGAGCTATTTGTATCTGGACTATCTCACAGTGTTTTTTTTTTTGTCTATACCTTTTAAAACTTATTTTGGACGCATTATAAGTTCTGAACGACTAATACTACTGCCAAGATAACGGCCAATTTGTCAAATTAATAAATCTCAGCGGGTTTGATCGGGGACCACACTCAAGTAGAGAAATGACACAGGCAAAGAATAGATACTCCTGATCGTTTTGGGCCGGTTGAAGGAAAATTTGTGCCAACCAGGTCATTGATAGCCTCATGTGCGCAAATTTTTCCTTAACTGGGATCCGATTCGTTTAAGATTGTACATTAACAAGATTAAGCGCAGTGATCTCAGATGACTTCATTTGGAATGATTTCCAATTTTCCCTCTGAAAATGTTTTCGTAGAGATAGCTGTGCTGAAACCATAATAATCATACCAGGCAATCAAAGCGAAGGAGATATTACAAGGAACCAATAAGGATTCAAAGTGAAATCAAGGAAAGCGCTCCTAGCGCGGGAAAACGTGAGCGGCCAAAAGTTATGATTGGTTGTAGTTTTGAATCTGATTGGTTGAGAAAGTGGAACGCGGAGATTTCTGGACCAATCACATATCAAGTAAAGCAAAAAGAAAGCAATTCCGGATTACTTCCAATACTTAACTGAAAATTGCTCTAATCTTGTTACATTCTTCCAAGCTGTGAACTACAAAATTATTGAAAATCTTCATTTTAATCAAACTATTCTTTTTTTATTCTATTTTACTCCTCCTGACTAGGATGAAAACTGAATATCGTGGCATTAATTTTTCTAAGAGAGGATTTTTTTTCCCTTCGATCAATATCAGAGTAATGTTTAAGGGTTCATCAACATTAATAACTATTAAATTGTTTAAAATTTAAAGGATACAAAACGGGCGCATTTCATGGGCAAGGGCTAAACAAAAGGTGCGGACATTAATGCAGTGATTCCTTCCTGTGAAACTTATCTCATGAATTTGCACGTCACCCAGTCGCCTTTATTTCTGATGAATTTGCCAAGTTTTGGATTATTTTAGATGTGATCAATTATATTATTAATTTCGAATTATCTAGTTTCTGCTGTGTTAGTCACCATCTGGCATTGACTACTGTGGGATATAGTGTTTATTTTCTTGAGTTCTGGGCTGTTTGTTGCTCAAGGTTTAATCATATTTTGTTGACGACGAAGGGTTATATATTAGAGTCAGTTAGAACTCTTCAACAGTTCCTTATAAGGTGAATGACAATCGTAAACTACAATTAGATTGTGTGGACTAAAAAGTGTAAGAAATCCTTCAACAAAGGAAGCAGACCGGAGAAGAGGAGGATGTCGGAGGGCTACACGATGCATCCCCCTTCCCCAGAAATTATCATCATTGCTAATTGTTTAATATCCAAATTGTATTTGAAGTTCCCGAATTTCGTGTCATATACTTAGTGATCTTCGGCCATACTTTGAAACTAGTGTCTGCAAAGATCTGCCTCTTTGATCATTAATGCAATATCATCATTCCTCGCTGTTTGGTCGTTTTTGTGACGACTCTTAATGCTCCACTTGTCCGCGGGCTACCTTTTTAAACCAAGTTTATCCTAGAAGGATACTGAGTCAAATTCCTGGATTGCTTACTCGCACGTGAAGATGCAAGGTTTCTAAAAATCTCCAGACTTCTTGGGAAGAACGGCATGTAAGTTTTGTAATCGACTTTGTAAGGATAGCGGCATACGCGGATTACGGCATAATACAATGGAGAGCAGTTAAGCGATTCTGTAATCAACTACCAAGTTGTGAGTGAGCTTTGTTCGTAAACCGACTTTTCTCTGACAGTGCTCCACTAGTGCGTCATTACCACGGAATTGAGAGTATCCTCGCTCTCAAAATGAGGCTAAACCATGGTCTGAAATATCCTCGAAGCATATGGACAATTAGACCCAGGACCCCCAAACCGTACCAAGACATGACCTGTCACCGTCATCGTCAATAGAGACGCCAACCTTCTTGGAAGAAAGAGCGAGGTATGACAGAATACCGGCGCTGAAGAAAATTGTGGCAAGTACTGCAGCGATGATCAGGAATGGAAGAACAGTTAAACTTGCTACCAGGTACATTATGGCCATGAAGAACGACAAGAAAACACCTGAAGAAAATAAAATAAGCTGCTAAAAGAACTAATTAACCTATTCTAGCACTAGGCTGACGGTACAGTTTATTTTTAAAGTGTATTTCTCAAGTCCTCGTACCAACCGAAGTGTTAAAACCAAAGGATGGGTTCACAAGCTCTCAATTAACAAAAGTTGAGAACGAAAGCAGTTCTCTGCGAGCAGAGAAAGTCGTGAACTCGGGACTTGTAATTCAGTGTTGTTACGTCATTGAAAAACGTTTTCAGGTTTTGCAGTCATAAATTACTGCCCTAAATTCTGGCGCTAACACCTTTAAATCCCCAACATTTCCACCTGAAAGTAAAACGTGGACGGTAACAATGTAAAGACAGAAACTGAAGTGCCAAAAACAAATCAAATTAAATATTATAGGAGAACAAATTAATATATATATTAAACGCAAATACATTCATGACGAGGGAGAGAAAGGAAAATGCCTTGAGAGGAGGTAGAATTCAATTCAGCCATTTCTTTCGTTTATCGTCTTGACACAGAAACAGTAATTAACCTTTAACACCGTAATGTTGGTATTTATATTCTCCCGTACCGTTCTCTCTACATTTCCTCTGATTCAGACGAAGAGAATTTGTTTGACAATCAGGAGCTTCCTAACTTGGGGATCATTTTCTTTTTATCCTCCTGACCTCTAAATTTGATTCGGGGGTGATACTGTGAGGAGCAATTAAAAGCAAGTCGCCATAGTTACAGGTTAAAGGGTGAAACACTCTCACCTTTTCCTAGCAGGCTGTACCATTGGTGCTCTTTGCTAACACCACAACAGAACACAAACACAACCAACCAACATGGTGCTCGTTCCTTTTTCTTTGCTTTCGCCTTCTCCTGTTTGCTCCAAACGTTCACTTTGTCTGTGCTTTTGGGAAATTTCACCTTGGGTTTTGAGAGCTTTCGTTTCGGGTCTGGCGTTACTTCTCCAAGTCTGTTGCTTCTTTCGGAATCTTTTAACTTTGTGTCTGGTTTAAACTTTGGTTTGACTCTCGGAGAGGGTTCCTCTGTGGTTCTAACGGGAAGCAACACAAACGTTCTTTTTAAGTGGTTTATACATTTCGAAATGGCGTTGATATCATCTCAACCATTTTCACTGAGCCTGGGTTTGCATAATTGTCAATTTTTGAATGTATTCTTTTTTTTTTTTTTTTTGCATTATTTTAAAGTGCCTATGAAGTACAAATTTTTTTGCCCTGTTTGTTTGCTTATGTCTTGTGAACACAGCTAAGCGATTTTGACCGACCAAAAGAACTTTCTTGTATTATTTTTTGAACCTCAAAGTTTGGATTTTGCAATCTGAAATGGGTCCATTTTGCGCGCGTTCAAATCTCATCTTACAAAGGAAGGACGTAGTTGGTAGTTCTGAAGACGACAAACAAAAGCTTAAACAAAGCGCCAGAACCACCAACTACGTCATCAGAGCCAAACTCGCTCCCAGTTTCCGAAGACACCGATAACGTCTAATTTAGGGACTTCGAGCCACAAGAAAGCCGATTTAAATTTCTTTTCTTGAAATTTATTTTGTCAATCCTTAATAAGGACATAATAAGCTACAAAATTATGCAAAAAAAATTTTTACTTCATAGGCACTTTTAAGAGACGGGAGGATCTTCGCACTGAATTAAACAATGCCTTAATGGGTGATCCATTTATCACACTTCTTAAAATTGCCGTGACCTGAACCGTTTCTACCAATCACATATGACTCGGTTACCTTAAATAGAGTGATTAGCAGAAATAGCTATCATTACGCCTTTCTAATTAATCATTGAACGAAATATTTTCCCAAAGCACTTCAACATGTATCAGAGGACTAGCAAATGCAGCTTCTCGATCCAGTGATGTAGAAGGCTATACATATATACCCTCTTTTTGAAAGCCATGTTGACCTTGAGGTGCGCTATAACAGTTGAAGAGCCGCGACAGAGAAAACAAACAAACAAACGAAAAAACAAACAAATGAAACAAAAGCAAACGAAGAACCTAACAATGGCATCATTCTTGCAATTCATAAGAAAGATATTCACTTACTCTCCAGCCTCTATACAAATTTCAGTGTAAGACTTGATCGTAATAAGGCGTGGCTGTTTGCTGTAAACAAAATACACCACGAAAATATAAAAGGTAAATGTAACAAAAATAGTTCCAAGGTACTTAGCGATTTTCAGTTAAAGCCAGACACAAACTGAGTCAGACGGTTCATTTAGATATCTACACCTACCCAGTGCTTTAAACGAAACGGGGGCAATCTGCGAGAAACATCTGTTGTTTTGTAATCCTGTTGCCTCCAGGACTTCGGAGAGTTCCTTACAAAATAGTTACACATTACGACCCTACACTAGTGGATGTTGAATCAAAATGAAATTAGAAGAAAAAGGGAATAAAATCTTTCTGATCAGTAAATAAGTGACTTAAACCGACGATTTTTCGGCTGAGTGACAGCAAGAGGGCCTCAATGGGACGATATGTCTTTAACGCCGCTAACGGTTCAAATTGTGGCCATTTTACGGCTTACGCATCATAATAAGCCCTGTTTACACTAAAGCTAATCGCACCCGCCAAACGCTTCTGCTTATCTGCACCATACCTTTCCGTTTTTGTACCTAACATATTTTCTTAATCTTTTAAGTCTCTTAGCACTTTACAAAATTTCAGTGATCCGACCTGAAACTTAGACAGGACGATTTATTCTGGTATTGAATATAGCTATCGTGACAGGAGCAGAGTATTTTTATCTGAAATTGGCAGAACCACCATGTGCCACGTGCTTCTCTGACAGATCACTGAAATAATTTTTGACTGTTTCTTCACCAGGAACGAAATAAAAAAGTGCTTTCAAAGCGGACACCGGGTTTTTGCCGTTTAATCCTCTTAGAGTTCCCCAGTAACAAGGCGTCAGATTAGTAAATAGTCTAGACGCAAAAAGCCGTACTTACACATCCAACACAGAGTCGTTTGGTGAGTCTGTGTCCGTTTGATTATTATTACTGTCTCTGCTGTACAAGCAGTCGTAGTCCAGCTCTTGTGATGTACCTTCTAAGTCTATGATCTCGGTCATCGTCAACTCCACCGTAGCAGAAAAGATCCTGACTTGATTCCACTGAAAGTACGCTCGTCTAGCTCGTCAAGAAATCTTTTTTTTGCAATGGGGGATAACTAAGAACCAAAAATAGTCATGTTATTAATCACACATGTGGAGTTCTTGTACTTTAAACGACCAAAGAATTGACTGATGAAGAAGTGAGCCATTTTGGCGCGAAGCTGCGTAACTCTCTACCTGACTGAGAAATATCTGGTTCACAGTTGACCAAATTTTACAAAAAAGTTAACCGTTGCTGTGTTGTTTTTATGATCGGGACGTGAACGCTAAAACGGCCTCTGTTTGGACAACCTTGAAGAATAATTTACTCTATACACAATATCACACAATTGTTGATGAAATAAAGATGAGAAGTAAATTTCTCGATCAAGTTCGCTATCCCAAAGTCTTAAAAAGTTGTATTTGTACACGAACTGAATTTGTAACGATTGTGGGGGGAGTACCCAAAGCTTTCATCAACAGGCCTTGACTAGGCAAACACTTTTTCATTTCCGAAATAATCTGATCGTGTTTCTTTCTGTCAGTGCAATACCTTTTCAACCTCGACTCATAGTGTCTGCAATCCAAGTTTCGTCTAAGGCTATAAGATCTTTCTGCGTTCAACATTAGTCTATCCGTAGTAGAGATACATTTTGTTTCCTCTCAATGGCCGTACCAGGTAAAGATATATTTTTCACAAGAATGACATAATCAAATCCTGGTATGACCTTTGTAATAAATTGAACAGTTTAGGTTTATAAGATTTAACAAATCCATGCTTCGTAATTGGTTGTGAAAGCAAATCTACGGAAGTTCCACTTCATTATATAATAGAATTGTCAGATACAGAAGTTCTTTGTTGAAAAAGATTGTCTGACCTGATTTTAAAGCTGCAAAAATACGCGTCTCCGTAATGAAATTACACCGTTGAAAACAGTGAGAATGTCTGTTTGCCAACATTATGTCAATGAACGCAAATTTTTTTTGTGTAATTTCCTTTTTCTAAAGACTAGAGCAGTTAAAATCCACCTAAAGGGTTTTGAATTATCCCTCGATTCCATAGTTCTCAGTGTGTCTTCCACAGTAAGCTGCCGTCAAGCGGCAATACCAGGACTTCTTATTGGTTGGCTTGTAGGAGGCTGATCATGGGGAAAATTATTATTTGAATATTGCAAAAAAAACAATACAAACAAACCGAGACGTGTGGGTTCTTAGCAATTAAAAACAATTTGACACTGAATTTGACGAAGGATGCAACCTGATCCCATGAAAAGCTCAACCCAAACTGTAGCTCAAAAATTTCCATGACATCACCTTTGTGCTTCATAATTACGTTTTTTGATATGAAATGAGAAAAGATGGCAACTGATTTCTTGGCAAATTTGAGACAGGTGATTGTTTTGATGAAACATTGCCAGTGGTAAGACATCGAGGAAAGTAACGCACTCCTTACTTTAACTTGTCTGTTTACGTTCAGAATTGTAGACTTCCTTTCCCGGCCTAAGAGTTTACAAACTTACGGCTTTGATGAAAGAAAAAAGTTTGCGATCCTTTGGTGCCAAGTCAGAGCACCAAGAGGCATAACTCCCTCAGAAATTGACTTGAAGTTTATCCTGTGCATGCCACCATTAAAAAATGTTCCGGTGATTAAACTATGCAGTTAATTTTCATATGCAGCTACCGCATCTGTCAGGAAACGTTTTACATTAGGTTTGCAATATTATCAATTCTTCTATGATTATGTTGTGGTGAGAGCCTAATTCTTTTAGCGATAAAATTTTATTAAGCAATCACTGATGTCAGCACCAGTTCAGCGGGTGAGTTATCTTAGAGGGATGTGTATTTGAGAGCTCTCAAAACAGAAACATAGAAGTGTCCCACTTTCGGAATTATGTAACGTCTGGCTCTAAATGGCGTAACCATGACTAATAAGTCAAAGTAACTGAGTATTAAGAAGTTTTTATAGAAGTGAAATGCTAAATAGGACTTGATCGAATTGACTGAACTTACCTTTACTTTTCTTGTAGTACGGTGTGCACTTCTTTGGACAAAACTGCACAGGTCGAGAACAAAAGCGAGACTCCACAAAGCTCTAAAACTTAACAGATCCAGCGTCTTCCTTGTCGTACAGTGCAAAGACGTGCAATATGTCGGAGAAACTATTTCAAACTCGCTAATCTGCCAAGTTGTAGAAATGCTTCCTAGTACACGTTATTAGTCTTTAGATTACGGATATCATTTGTATGCAAATTTGTCACAGTTTTATGACTGATCCATTGATATCTGAGTAAACGTCTCAAAGTTGCGTCATATATCTCTAAGAGACTTCTTTTGTGTGGACAAATATTTCGCGAAAGCGTCAATTAATTTTTCTCTTCACCGAATCTTGTTTGTCCTGATCATGACGGCACAGGAAGCAGTTCGGGTGACTTTCACGATCCGGCGACGTCACCGCTTACAACCAGCTAATTAAGACAAAGCGAACTTGCAAGAGTGATAACAGAAATGTTTTCTGGTGCTTAAGATTGCGGAAGATGTAAAAGCTGAATCTCGATCGCGAAGCAAAATTGTGCGTTTGGGCACAGTTGTGGCTCACGGCTCATTAAGGAGTACTGGAGCAGTTTTGTTGGTAGAGCGCTGAGCCTTGAAATTGGAAGGTCTGAGGTTAGACATGATCCGTTTCGGTAGCCTCAGATATTTTCCTTTCTCCAACTTGCTCGTAACAGGGCTAGGTAGTTTTCTTTAAAATAAAAAAAATTGGTCGAGGGGGATCTCAGTTCCACAGTTAATTAGAGTGCATTTAGATTACTACGTTATTTTAAATTTGTTGACATTGAAACGACTTTTCTTGGCTGGGAATTACGCCGCTAGTACTTGAAAATTCAAAAAAAAATATAAAAATAACTATGCGATGACTGTTTTTAAAGGCAGTTGCTGGGTCAATTTCTTTCAAAGCTGGAAAACACAGTTTTTCTGGGGTTTCGCAAGGAATGATCAAGTTGAACGACGAGTCAATAGAAACAAATTTCAGACGTTTCTGGCAATTTTCAAATTTCCTTCTACGTTGACCTTTTGAGCGATATGACGTCATTCAGAGTGCTGATTGTTGTATATAATTCTTTTTATCTGCTGGTTGACAGCTGAACGAGGTGACTTTTGGTGACCTATTCTTGACGACCTTCCTGAACCAGATAGATCATGGCGACGGAGTCCTCACGTAGGACATGAACCATAATTACACTGAGTAGATGAGCTCACGCACAGTTCTTTGTTAATTTGTCACTTTTTGTTTTGGTGTGCGTCAATGTTGGGTTATTTACGTGGTTGGCATGCAGGACAATACTCAGCATTGGTGCAAGCGTACCCCAATACTGTGATCTAATTGAGGGGGGTGAATAGGCTAACGGATCGGCGGATTCTGAGAATTATTTTGCCCGGATTTCGGATTTAGGACAAAATTTTAACGGATTTGCGGATTCTGAAATTGCAACGGTTTTTGGATTTTGCTTGTGAGGAAGCTCGAATTGTGGATCTGAACGATCGTTAAAAATGTGTTTTTTTCTGAGTATGTGTATATTTTGTCACAGACGAGACTCTCTGCATGTCACGCATCAAGGAAATAGTAACGCACTGGGACGTCTGCTGTGTTCGCGCCCTTATCCCCAGGGGGGGACTCCCATATGAAACAGACGGGGATGCTCGTCATCTCGCTTAGGGGTGTAAATTTTGGATTTTTATCTCGCTTAGGGTGTTCCAGGCAAAGCGCCACTATTTTAAGCCATCAAGGTCTCGTTTAGGGTTCCGCGAAGAAATACAGAATTA